TGTTTTTCTTCATCCAACTCATGTGTGTGTTTTAGAAAGGTTGCTTAAATATTTATGGAAAGTCATACCTCTGTGTGTTTTGCTGTATAAATGATTTAAGGATGCCTTTATTGCCATTAATCCTGCTTCACCAACATTGTTGCATAAAGTTTGAGAAACCTATGATCATGTTCTTGAGGCGTCTGCACCTTTATCACAGCACCATGTCGAATTTTATTTGTTGACTTTTCTCCATAAAGTTCAGGCCTACTTCTATCACCTTTGCAGTCAACCCAATCTCAGAACGCTAAACTGTGTGGAAATCTTCATGACAAAAAGCACACAAAGTAAACCATACTGCGATTTCATTTTTACTTTTTCTTGCTTGTTAGCTTTTCATACCTGATCAAATTTAAATCTGGGATTTGCTAAATACACCCCAAGGGATCAGTCCTAAAGGAAATTTAAGCCTGAACTGTTGATCTTACCTGCAGTTCTTATAATGGGATTTTGATAGTAGCTGTAGCAACCTTCAATTGCCGTACTTGAAACATCCAATTAGTAAAGCTGGTGAGATTCTTTAGATGTCCGCTATGAATTATTAATGTACAATTTTATAAGGGTTAGAATAAAGAGAAGCACAGGAATAAAAGATAAAACGTGTTGCACATTTTTACAATGAATAATGAAAAAGTATGGTTTCAGTATTTATCTTCTTAATTGTGAGGCAACAGGAGCTAGGATAGTGGTACAAAGCCATAGCAATTTGTGAATATAATCAAGGTTCTCGGCTTCTTGGAAAAGACTGGGATTTTAACGTGGTGGTGTTTTTGAATCACTGTAATTCTGCACTTTTTCCAATGTCCTGAATGAGTTTTGCTAAAGATGATTTGAAGTTAAGATTTTTGTGCCATAATATCAATATGGAAATACACTTTACCCATGTTTTTGTTTCATTCTGTGACACTTTTTCCTGGTTTAGTACATGTTCAGCACAAGCCATTAGTTTATTTTTACAACAAATAGTTAAGTGTAAATGGGCAATCATTTTATTCTCTTTAAGTCTTCTCTGTCAGATGATCATTACTGAAATAATTTATTGTTGCTAATTTATATTTACTTTTTAGGCGGAACGATTTTAAAGGTTATAACTTCAAGAAGTTAAAAAGTCTAACTTAAAAATTTGTTAATTGTTTTTTTTTCTCCTGGTATAGCCTGCAACAACGAAAACGCATGCCATCATTGAGCGTACAGCCAGCTTTGTGTGCAAGCAAGGGGCCCAGTTTGAGATCATGCTGAAAGCCAAACAGGCAAAGAATTCCCAGTTTGATTTCCTGCGCTTTGATCACTACCTGAATCCTTACTACAAACACATCCTTAAAGCCATGAAGGATGGAAAGTACACCTCTGTCTCTGAGGCTAAACCGGAGGACAAAGACAGTAAGTGTTATTCCAGCTTTGGCTTGATGACTCATTCCTGCTAGGGTGATAATGGTGGTGATGTTTTGATTGTATGCATGTGTTGTGTACACTTGAAGTCGTGAGCAGACTTCCTTTTTTTATGAGCAGTGTTCCTCAGCGAGTTGTTTGTGAACTTGTATCCACAGGGGAGGCCGACCAGCCAGAGAGTGAAGAGCCGTTTGTTGCTCCCCCTGGGCTCAGTGTGCCCCCTGATGTGGAACTGGTGAGTGCCCGTTGGCTTTTAGTTCGATCTGCTTTTTTTCCCCACGTTGCACATTCAAAGAGCTAAAGATATCGTCACGCAGTCTACATTCTGGCTTTTATTAAAGGAAATATTCTGCGAATCTTGAATTTTCCTTCGCTTGTCGTGGGTCTTTGCCTTTTCTTGGATTTCAGTCTCATTTAGGTTTTCAACAGGCATGCCTTGGGGACTGTCTAGCCATTCAGAAAAAAAGATACTGATAGTGGTGTTTCATTATTTAGAAACAAAAGTCCTTGAGATATTTGCCTCAAAACATAACTTTTATAAAAGGTTACTGTATTTTCTCCTAGTTCATTGAAACAAAATGATTTGTGGTTGTTTTACACAACAATTATGTATTATATTTAATTTGTTACTGTCATGTTTTGACTAATCAGATGTAGAAAGGTGTTCAGTAGCCATAGCAAAAGCTATTGCGAAGTACATTTTCATTTTGTTTACAACGTTAGAACCTTAGTTAATTCACCCATTTTAGTTCTACAAACTTTGATCTTGTCAGCTGAGCATATCAGGGAAGTGTTTTTCTTCAGTTGGTTAATATTTATTTTGGCAAACAGTGTGATCTTGTTCAGAAGATTTGAGGCCTTGGAAAATCTGTTTGTGTTTAATCTTCGCTGTGATTAGCTAGTGTAGCAATATTTATTAGGAAGGCAGTAAACAGCTGTGCTATCCCATCTCTCATAGGGCAGATGCAGAACTCTTTTGTTCTTGATGTTCAATCCACAAATTAAAACGTGTAACAGGAAAGTAATCCTAACACTTAATAAATAATAAGTTTCATATGTTTTACATTTGTGTTGAATAATTTTGGGTATATGTAATTAAGACCATAGGGTTGTGCAAATTATTTGAAAAGTAGTTAATCCTACATATTGTTAGAACTTTAATTGTCTTTATTCAGTGGGGGGAGAAGTATTCCCGGGCCATTCATGCATGATAAATTTCAACTAATTGGTATATTTTTTGTTTTTGATATTCTGAAACAAACCTTTATAATTTAGTTTATTCATCTTATATTATCATTGATAGTATATCCAGTGTTTTTCTTCATCCAACTCATGTGTGTGTTTTAGAAAGGTTGCTTAAATATTTATGGAAAGTCATACCTCTGTGTGTTTTGCTGTATAAATGATTTAAGGATGCCTTTATTGCCATTAATCCTGCTTCACCAACATTGTTGCATAAAGTTTGAGAAACCTATGATCATGTTCTTGAGGCGTCTGCACCTTTATCACAGCACCATGTCGAATTTTATTTGTTGACTTTTCTCCATAAAGTTCAGGCCTACTTCTATCACCTTTGCAGTCAACCCAATCTCAGAACGCTAAACTGTGTGGAAATCTTCATGACAAAAAGCACACAAAGTAAACCATACTGCGATTTCATTTTTACTTTTTCTTGCTTGTTAGCTTTTCATACCTGATCAAATTTAAATCTGGGATTTGCTAAATACACCCCAAGGGATCAGTCCTAAAGGAAATTTAAGCCTGAACTGTTGATCTTACCTGCAGTTCTTATAATGGGATTTTGATAGTAGCTGTAGCAACCTTCAATTGCCGTACTTGAAACATCCAATTAGTAAAGCTGGTGAGATTCTTTAGATGTCCGCTATGAATTATTAATGTACAATTTTATAAGGGTTAGAATAAAGAGAAGCACAGGAATAAAAGATAAAACGTGTTGCACATTTTTACAATGAATAATGAAAAAGTATGGTTTCAGTATTTATCTTCTTAATTGTGAGGCAACAGGAGCTAGGATAGTGGTACAAAGCCATAGCAATTTGTGAATATAATCAAGGTTCTCGGCTTCTTGGAAAAGACTGGGATTTTAACGTGGTGGTGTTTTTGAATCACTGTAATTCTGCACTTTTTCCAATGTCCTGAATGAGTTTTGCTAAAGATGATTTGAAGTTAAGATTTTTGTGCCATAATATCAATATGGAAATACACTTTACCCATGTTTTTGTTTCATTCTGTGACACTTTTTCCTGGTTTAGTACATGTTCAGCACAAGCCATTAGTTTATTTTTACAACAAATAGTTAAGTGTAAATGGGCAATCATTTTATTCTCTTTAAGTCTTCTCTGTCAGATGATCATTACTGAAATAATTTATTGTTGCTAATTTATATTTACTTTTTAGGCGGAACGATTTTAAAGGTTATAACTTCAAGAAGTTAAAAAGTCTAACTTAAAAATTTGTTAATTGTTTTTTTTTCTCCTGGTATAGCCTGCAACAACGAAAACGCATGCCATCATTGAGCGTACAGCCAGCTTTGTGTGCAAGCAAGGGGCCCAGTTTGAGATCATGCTGAAAGCCAAACAGGCAAAGAATTCCCAGTTTGATTTCCTGCGCTTTGATCACTACCTGAATCCTTACTACAAACACATCCTTAAAGCCATGAAGGATGGAAAGTACACCTCTGTCTCTGAGGCTAAACCAGAGGACAAAGACAGTAAGTGTTTTTCCAGCTTTGGCTTGATGACTCATTCCTGCTAGCCATCAGTACAGCTGATATTCAGCTTCTGTCTGTATTTTGTAATCCATTGGCAGTCAGTTACACTTATTACAGTTGTGTCCTACATTGTGTTATCCAAGTGGTATACACAATCTGTTCAACACAACAGGTAATTTGTTCATCATTGGTTCCCCAGTATGTATTGTAAGCACATTTCACAGTTGAATTGTAGGTATTTTGATTAGAATGCATTGGAAAAAGTAATGATAGTTTTTTTGGTAAAATAATTACTATGTTCCAACATAGTATACTCAGGGTCTTAGGCATACCGTAGGTATTTAATAAAAGTAAAGCAAACAATATTTTTACACAGACAGGGTGCGTGAACTGACAGAAATAACAGAGAAAAGCGAATAGTGTAAGTGCTTCATGTCAACAGTGCACAGAAAATTCAGCTTCTGAATGTGAGGAGAGCTTGTAGATGATGCTAAATGCCACAGCATGCCATCTGTTAAAGATGTTTTTCCCTGCTAACCAGACAGCGATTTAAATCAGACCAGTCATTTAAAAGGTGTATTCCTTCACATTTTGAGACTAAGATGGTGTTTTATATGGCTTCAGCTATTTATTTGCACTAAGCCTTCTGCACATTTTTATATTCGCCTGTCATTGTGGTTTAGCAGAGAGTGTCCATTTTTCTCTCAATGCTGTGTTAACATAATTACAAATAAAATCCCGCAATGCGTTGCGAAGAATAAAGAGGTAATTTTCTGCTGTGAATCTATTTGATTATTGAAAGAATTTTGCTTTGCTGCAGTGTTAAATCATATAGTGTATGTCGCTGCGATGTCTGTTAAAATGTCATAGGTTTTTTGATTGTTTCTGAAATTGTCGCTGTACACTTTTTAAAATGATACAAAGATATGACAAAAGCAAGGAAAATTTCTCCATAGTCTTTTGTCTGCAATACAAAATACTTTAAGAAACTGGCTTTTTGTACAGTCATGTAAATGTAACAGTTTAAAAATAGCTACTTATTACACTTCAGGCGTCCTTGTTCATATCAAATAGGATTTTGTCTGTTGATTAAAAAGTTAAAATCATAGCGTACTCAGCATGCACGATGAGAGGTATTTTCTGTGATTTATAAAAAAAACCCTGGAAGGACTGGCAGCATACTTGCTAAAAAGCAAATTGGCATACCATTGGAAATTGGAGTTCTACATGGTCACTGCCACTACAACAAATAAGATTTTCTAGGAATTTAATAGTGCAGTCATGGGGAAAGAGTCCTCCTTAGTTTAATTAAGATATGAGACAAACAGGGAAACAATACGGTTCTGTCACTTGTGCATATACCAGACGATGTTGGCTAAATTTCAAAAATGAGTTTAATTTAATTTTGTCAATTGCTTGACAGTTATTTTTATAAAGTGTCATCCGGTTTCACTGTATTGTCACACAAAAGAACTGCACATTGAGAAGTTCTAATATCTGCTTCTAAATAGGCTTTTTTGCCTTACTGATGTTACTGAGAGTGGAGGCATTCTTTTCTGTTTTCTTGTTTTTACGTGTCATTTTTTAACATGGTAAAACTTACTCAATGCATTCTCTTTTGGTAATAATGCACTTAATTTATTTGTAAACTAATGTAAAAATCTTTAATTTTAATAGCGATCTACATTTATATAAAACCTTTTGTGATTTATCTCTTTAAAAAAAAAAAGATTCTGGATCAGAAGATTCGGATGAAGATAACGATGGAAATTATCTTCACCCCAGCCTGTTTGCCACCAAGAAGAGTAGCAGGCTAGAAGAACTCATGAAGGTAACGAATTGAGTTAACTTCAATTACCTCTCTTTGGATTCCTGCTAGTAGTGTAATAATTCATCAGTATGCATTGCATCATCTTCATGGATCTCTCTTACATATTAGCATGCATTGCATTGTGAGTCTAACAATACATCAAAAAGGAAGTATTTGAATGGGATGCATTGTGATAACAAACAAAAGCAGTTAAATGATCCCCTTTTTGATATTCTTTTAATATTCATTTCTTATTTTGCATTTTAATTTCAGTAAATTAAGCATCCAGTTTGTCCCTGTTATAATAGTGAACATATTTTTCAAAGAACAACACAACTTCATGTAGCACTGTGTCCTGCTGTTTTAAAACACTTCCCTACTTTAATGTATACCTGTCACATTGACCACAGCCTTTTATGACTTAAATAGATGTTTTTGTAAAGCAAACAATAATTTCTGACACTTCTTTTTAATGTCTTTGGCTAAACAGTTCTTTAATATTTTGTGGACTTTAGTTTTAGAATTTATAGAAATCACATTTAGTTGCAGGTCAAGCTAGATATTTTCTGTTGGTTTAGTGTATAGCAAAGATTATACCTTATCCTGTACCGTGTCCTGTGCTAAATAATACTGCCATGCGTGGTATCTCTTGCAATGCAGGACAGCTGACTCCTGCAGCAAACAATGGTCGATTTATTTTTTTTCTTGTAGTCCTTCCTGGCACTTTTGGAGTCACAATCTAAAACATTGACTTAAAAAAAAAACTGGGATGAACAACCTGATTTGGAATACAATAATCCAGACAAATGAAATAGGTTTAAAAAGATAATACTGCTAATAATAAACCATAACAAACCATAACTGCCTGTTAGTGTGACATTTCATTTTTAAATTATATTTTAGAACAGTTTTGGAGAATGTGGAGTTATTTGAATTGGGTGGAATGTTATTTAGCAATGTACAGTGATGTGAAAAATAAATGTGCGATTCTATGTTTTAACATATTAAGACGTATCTGACCTTTATCTAATCCTCACCAAGTCCTAACAGTAGATAAATCCGACCTTATGCAACAGATAACACTCAGATTTTACCTTTTCATCATTTATCAAACAAAACAATCAGCCTACATTCAGTATCCTTGTGTGAAAAAGTAAGGGCGTTATTACTGCTTCCATGTCATGGAAGAAGGTAATGAGAATCAGGTGCTGCTAAACAAGTGCACATGATTAGTTGATCATTCGGAAGGGTGTACTTTCTTTTTCACATCACCATTGATTAATCAAATAATTTGATCAGGTGAATACTTGAAATCAGTATATATTTAGAGTGTTTTTTTTTTCTCCCTTGCTGTATGCTATCTGAGACATTGACTTACAAACCTGTGACACTTAAACAATTTTGTTGAGGATTGCAATAAAAATTGTGCTCTCCATTTTTCCTGAAAAGTGCAGTTTGACATTTTAGATGAAAGATATAAATGATTAATGTCTGTGTTTTGTTAAATGTGGCAGTAGAGTTTTTTTTAGTAGACATTTCTGAACATGTGATTTTTTTTCCTGCTACTGTTGCCTTTTTATGACATGTACATAGCATGATGTGTGTTTTAACACCACACTTGTACTATGATAAAAGTATCGCAGTCAGGCAGGCAACATACAGTATCTTTCTTGCCTCCAGTGTAACATCCTAATGATTTATAGTCCTTTAAGTAGTCCTTATAGTCCTTTAAGTAGTTGTATTGCTTAGCATCGTTAAGCCTGAAATCAAGCAGGATTACATAAAAAACCTCCTTTTGGTGAATATAAGCTGCAGTCAGGTCTCAATGACATTTTTGTGCTTTTAATAAGCAACAAAAGTTTTAATTCATGTCATTTAAGGATGCTCTTCTGCATTGGGGAAAAAAAACTTAACTAGGTTTGAAAATGTTCAGAAACTCTCCTTTTCATACTTTTTGTCTGCTGTAAATCTTGAAGGAATCTATATGATCTGCTTATTAGCTTTTTAGACATGAGTTTAAACTAAATCTTCAAGTTTCCATCAATCTAGGAAGGATGAGAATGAGATTTTAAGACCTTCTCAAATGGTATCGAATTGTTTATTTCTTTTAAAAGAAAGTGTATTACTTAGTTTATGGACAAGGGATAAACTTGATGGCAGTTCTTACGGTTGTAGGATTTTTACCCGTCAGAATAGTAGGGTGTAAATTTAAGTGAACAATCTTTAAAAAAAAATGACTAATTTTGACATTTTTGTCCCAACACTGGATCTTCAGCCAGTAACGCGTACATGTTACATGTATTTTAGCCTTTGCAAGTGATGGATCCAGATCACCCTCTGGCAGCACTGGTCCGGAAAGTCCAGCTGGACAACAGAGCAGCGACCAAGAAGGTAGAAGATAGTCTAGCAGCAGGAACTCCATCTGCTACATCAACCTCTGCAGCAGCAGAACACCCCACAGATAGTAAGTGCCTCATTGTTAACTTGCCCAGCCAGAGGATGCAAAGCAGATGCAATCCATAAAACTATCTAGTCTTCTTCAGAGAGCAAACCTTTTTTGAACCGTTTTGATAGTATATTTACTTGTAGGAAAGTTGTGAAGGAAATATTTATTTTAATTAAGTTGCAGTTTGCTCACACTGGTATAATATAGACAAACACTTCCCGGTTGTCATCATTTTTGTAGCACTATCACCATCTAGATTTTACTTTTTTTGTCCAGTAGCATTTTGTAGCTTTTTTTAATTGATCAAAATGTATAAACATTATGTACGCTTGAATCTTTAATTGATTGAATGTCGTAGTATTTGTGATTTTTTTTTGGTCTCCTATTCCTTATTCTTATCAGAAATCACAGATCTAACATTTGGTTGTGTCTCAGTAGCATTATACAGACAGTCATTTATAATGTCATACAGTCCTCTAACCTGGAATCAATTTAAATTATTAGATACCTGAGGCTTACATTTAAGTTTATAGCTATTTTCAATCTTTTCTTTTTGTAGTTGTCCTTTGTGTTTTAAATTGAGTTAATTACTTGAAAAGACTCTTCTATTATGTATGAAACTGTCAAATTGGTGCTCCTCAGAGAGGTAAGAAAAAGCTGGACAAAACAAGATGATGAAATTTTTACTTTCAAGCTGGATCAATTTGATTTTGCTTTGCCAGGTCCTTTTATGAACTAGGATTGATTTTTTTTTTCTCCTCCCTTCTAAAAATCAGTGACTGTGCAGAATGTCTTGCCTGATTGCAGTCAGTATGAACCCACCACAGGCACAGTGAAATAGCTTTGCAGAGATTTTAGAGCATTTAGAATATTGCTTTTTTTTATCAGTGGTTTCTTGAACAACAGACTTCCATTTATGAAGGTATAAATATGAAATGGTCACTATGGGTTAATTCATCTCGAAAATCCAGATCTGCTCATACCACTGCATTTTGATGTGAGACCTGTAAACATTTTTAAATAAGCATGTGTAATCCATACATTTCAAATTTATGTAATCTAAAAAAGCTTTTTTCCCCCACTAGTCTTCATAGTTGATTTTCAAAATTTGTGGCTGACAGGTTTTTTATGAGATATAAATTGAATCTTTAGGCTTAAATAAGAAAGTTATGCATATATTAATCAAACGGCAGATTTTAGTGGGACCAAGAAATGTTTAAGACCAAAGTGGCAATACACTGAAGAAATAAATGTACGTAATAGTGGAATTACACCCTTTTTTAAAAAGCAGATCTTGAGGTAACTACAGAATGCCTTCATCCTTAAGGGTGGTTGCTCTCAACGGAGGATGGGTCTGATTCACATGCTGTGAATTGAAGCTGTGCCTGGGATTCTCTTAAGCAGCAGTCCACGGTTTGCAAAGGGCCTGTCAGCTGTGTGATTGCGGTTAGTTGGCCAGGGCTGTCTGTGCTTTCCAGTGAACAGTGACACTTGCAGGCTTGCAGTGATGGCAACAAGAGACGCACCATCTGTACAGCGAGGCTCTATGGAGCTGACGGCTCGATGGGTCGGCAGGGTCTGAGCTGCATGTCTGGGCAGTACAAGAGTTGTAACTGGGAGCCAAGACTTAAACAAGTAATCTGCAGCTCCAAACCACGTGTCTATAAAAATCAAAATAAAAAAAATCACCAGCATTTGTTTCTTATCCGTCCTTCAGATGAGACGTAAAACCGAGGTCCTGACTCTCTGTGGTCATTACAAATCCCAGGGCGTTTCTCGAAAAGAGTAGGGGTGTTACCCCGGCGTCCTGGCCAAATTCCCCATTGGCCCTTACCAATCATGGCCTCCTTATAATCCCCATCTATGAATTGGCTACATTACTCTGCTCTCCTCCCCACTGATAGCTGGTGTGTGGTGAGCGTTCTGGCGCACTATGGCTGCCGTCGCATCATCCAGGTGGATGCTACACATTGGTGGTGGTGGAGGGGATCCCCATTATCTGTAAAGCGCTTTGAGTGGAGTGACCAGAAAAGCACTATATAAGTGTAAGCAATTATTATTATTATTATTATTATTATTATTATTAACAGGCCCAAACGTTCCATAACATACTAATATTCAAGTTTGTCAAACCATTTCACAAATATTAGAGCTATTAGTCCAAATATTCTTAAATCTTTGCTTTTTAAAAAAAAACAAACTTTTTGGAAGTCATCTCTTGAGTGTTGTCCAGCTTATGGAATCATTTTGTGCTCAAAATGTTTTAAACTGATTTACAAAATGATTACATAATGTAATCAACATCCACCTCAATATTTTGTTTTCCTATTGGGAGGACTTGGCTTAAGTCTTCTTTCCAAAGATTTTCAAAAACTCTTAAGATGGATTGTTGGATTGCTCAACACAAAAGAAAAGCTTAACATGCTCTTTTATCCATATGTTAATGTATTGATTCCTCCCTAGTAATGTCATCACCTAAATAGTAATTGAAAAGACAAAGTTATTTGCAAGTGATTATCTTTATTGCATTTTTTAAATGACAAATTATAATTTAATTCTCATACATAGGAGGAGTTTTAAGGAGTGTGAGATTTAGCTTGTGATAGTGTCTTTAGTCAGAGGTCTGCTATAAACATGTCCCAAGATAATGATAAAATCTTTGTTTTAGTCTTGCAAAACTGATTTGCCTTCTAGTGCTGTGGAAAATGATTCCATGAATTTTAAATGCAAAGGGTGTTGATCTAAATTTCTAATTGAGGCCCTGCAAATTTTTATCTGGTGCTGAGAAACATCTTAAGTTTTGATTTCTTCTGAGATCGTAACCAATGTCTTAATGCGTGTCTTATCCTTCCTGTACACAAAAACAAAGTGGGGAAAAAAACAAGTAAGCAAAACCTGTTTACCTGTTTTGGTTTGTTGTGCAGTGACATTATTGTTTCATGTATGAACTAGTGTTATGAGCCGCTTTATTGTTATTGAAAGAAAGGCTTAATTCTGGGGATAATTAAGGTGTTCTGCTCCTGAAACTTAGTTAGTTAGAAACTTAGTCCAGAAATTTAGTTGCAAGTGTGTTGCAACTGAGTTACAAAATTGTAGCTTTTCTGAACATACTGTATCTCATCCTTTGAATGAGGCATGAAAATAAATAGCGGGGGTTTTAACCCCTGTGCCCTGGTTAAATTTCTCTCTGGGCCGCAGTTTCATCTAGTTAAAGCCTCCCCCTCATTTAAATTAATTTCTCTCACGTCTCTGCTTCAGTTGCTGTATAGTGTGGGTGCTGTACTTCAGTGGTGGGTGGAGTGGGTTCCCTCCTACGTGTGATCATTTTGTGATTCTTTGGGATGGAAAACACTATACAATTGCACACAAATTATTGTACAGGTTAAAGAGAGGTATTTGCTAGCCTTTGTACCAGTTCTTCCAATAGAAGCAGTCAGCCAGTTAAAGTTATTCAAGTCTGAAATAGACATTTTTTCAAGAGCAGCTGCCCTTGGAGGGCTGATTTTGCTGATTTTTCCAGAATTCAGTAGTGCAGCAGACTTTTTTTTTGTAAAAGTAAGAATAGTTTAACTGAGAGCTCAGAACTGAAAGGTTCTTTTGGCTTGTTAAGGTGTGAATTTTCTGCTGCTGCTTTAAACACTTTTTCTGTTTGTACAGTGAAATGTATGACAAATGACTCTAACAGAGGAGTCAGATAATAGTCAGCAGCATTTAAACATACTGGGCTGTTCACAAGCATTCCTGCTGTTATAAATGAAAAAACAAACATATTTTTATCATAACTGTCAAATAGTAATAGTAAATGAAATCGCAAACATCAGACATTGTAAATCTGCAAAGACTTTGTTAAAATGGAAAATGCTAAAATGATTTGAATCTTCTGTGTCAGCCTTTAAATCCCATTTTCTTTCTTTTTCTTAAACATCACTTGAGATAAGTAGCCCCTGGAGAGCAGGCTTCGGCCTGTCTTGAACAGTGCAACATGATTTTAATAGTGGCTTACCAAAATAAGTTGGCGATGTGCTTTGCATCCTACAGTGCCTGAGCTCCCGCTCTTGACAATGTGACATTGTATTTCTGTACTTAGCAAATTTGATATCGATCTATTTTGTATTAAAACCAGCTGCTCTTTTCATCACTTCATTGATTAAGGTAGATTGCCTAAACATGTTGAATACAATCTCTAGAAAGTCATTCTTCAAAATCTGTATGTAATAGGAAACGCAAATTTCTCATTGCATTTACATTTGCAGCAATTCCCAGGGTATATTTTGAAAGCTCTTTCTACAAAACTGGTTAATTAAATCATTTGAGACAGCAGATGATTTGTTTTCATGTTATTATGGCTGCTTATTATAGTTTATTGCAGAGCCTGTAACTTTTGGAACCCTAAATAATGAATTTATTTTCTTAAATATTGAGAAGCAAATGAGCAATGCAAAATCCCCATGATCGCAGATGTGGGCTTGAATGACAATCACTCCATCTTGGAGCATTAGAGGTTGATGTCAGTCAGCACAGTTTGTGTTCCAGAAAGATTTCCATCAAGCTTAAAAATAGCCATCAGATATCAATCCTAAAGTGATAGTAAAATATTATATTTTTTTAATAATATTTTGAGAATTGAAATGCAACAAACTTTTTTTTTTTTTAGGTTAAATGGCATGAAGGGAAAAGACCTTGACAAAAAAGGTTACCACTTTAAAGAGGCATGAATGATGACTTGGAACCCTATTTAATTAGTTATCCAAACGGAAAATGCATTTAAGCAGGTTACGATCTTCATCTTTGCAGTTCTAGACTTTAGTGTTTCTGTTACCGAGATATTTGGTACGTAACTTGAGACGCCGGAAAGTAACCTGAAAATATTTAGTTTTTTTTGTCCTTTACATGAATATACTACGCAATAGAGTTAATTCCCTTTGAGGCTTATTTTGGCCAGACAAGCTTAATCGATTGAAACCCAGAGAAGCCAGGCGTGACTGACATGATTCTTGAGCTGTGACGTGTAAAGGTGAGAATCATCCTGTGCAGAAAGAAATAGATTGAGATTCTTATAATGATTTTAAATTTGTATAACTATCAATTCTCTATACTAAGAAACTGCATTTCTTTTGCTATTAATTTTTCTCAAGCCTAGGTATAATGAATTACTTGAATAGTCTGGATGATAGAAGCTACAGAAGCTTTACTGAAAATATTCCTTTTCATTTTTCAGCACAGAAATAAAACATATTGGCTTAATAGATTTCACTAGCAAAAATAACATGCATTTTTCCCTTCATGTATTACAGCTTTATAGTTGGTGGTGCTGTTGGTTATATTGTCCCTTGAATCCTTTTCTGATGGGGTTTAATTTGCATTACCACATGAATAATCAGGAGAGCTATTGGTGTGATTGTTCTATCACTTTAATGTGTTTTTTTTTTTCAAATTTGCAGTAAGGGCCAGTTTACCCTTCTTGCAGACATCTGTTCTGTTTGGTTTTCATTATCATTGTTGCCTTTTAATAAACCCAGTTTTTGTCATTAACATGCAAAGGTTTAATGCCCTTGCCTCTGGAGGGGAGCTTTTAACATCTCTCAGAGGTATTGCACTGGTAACATTTTGTTTTCTGATAAACTCTTGGATATGCGTGCCTTTAGTTAACCTTTCTTAATTGGCTAAGATGTCTGGTATGTCTGTATTTGGACAATGTTCATGAAATATTGTTTTGCAAATAAGCACTGCACTGACTAATATCACCTACTGCTTGTCAGAATGTATTGGCATAAACTGCTTCTGTAGCTGGATCAAATATGTATTCTACTACGCTTTGTAAGATACCATAGTGGTAAATGTAAAATAAGATCAAACATTTATTCATATTTATTAATGAGCTCAAGTAACGAATCTTAATTAACTGATTTCTTATTCAGATTCATAATCATTAATCTTCTGCTTTGCCACTCCTCTGCATTTAATTTTATCCCATTATTGATGTTTTTTTTTTACCAAAGTCTCTCATCAGGCTTCTCAATTTAAAGCGGCCTTATGGTATTTGTTGAAGTTTGGAAAATAAGCTAAGAAAAAAACGAAGTATAAGGTTTTGTATTTTTTACTGCTTAAATATTCTTTAAAATATTTTCCATTCATTTTATTTTATTATATTATAATTTATATATTTTTTATTATTTAATAATTTATTATTTAATAACGATATATTATTAATATTGTACATGGACTCCATATATTGTGCTTTTTACTTTCTTAATTATTATTATCTGCTCCTTCCAACTGCAACTCTTGCTCAGTCTACTTGCTCCTAAAAATGATGGTTTTCGTATTTTCCAGCAACAGTGTCTACAGTGTATTACGGCTACTACATGCTGCCTGATGGGACCTACTGTCTAGCTCCGCCTCCCCCAGGGATTGATGCCAACGCCTACTACAGCTCCTTGCCCTCTGGGATATTGCCCACCGCCTCTGGTGCAGCTGCCCCGCCCCCTCCTGGGACCACCCCCCCACCAGCGTCAGAGGCAGCCAGCAGCTCTAGCAGCCAGGGGTCTACTGCAGCGGAAACCACCACCACCACCACCACCACCACCACCACAAGGTGTGTCACTGGGAGGGCAGGGAGCACGAGCACTGCAGGGGGCAGCTAGCACTGCCTTTGCTCAAGAGAGAAAAATAGAGAAGCTCGCTTCTAGAGAAGGACAAGAAGAAGACAAAGCCCTTGCAGGTCTTTAGATAGATAATTTATTGATCCCGTGAGGGAAATGAATCTAGGTGCAATTGGAATTACTGTATCTGTAAGAGTTCTGTTCCTCTTATTTGTTTGAAATAACATGGCTCACATTTTTATCGTTGTCATACAGCAGACCGTATTGGAAGCTTGGAGTTTTTAGTACGCATGTTGACATCGCGTAAATCAATCAAATCAAGTCACCATCTTAATCTCAACACTAGCTTTCCTTGAGTGAAATGACCTGATCAAGAGGCTACAGCACAGGGCAAGAATGAAACAGTATTTGTTTTATTATGGCGTGTTTAAAATTCTATGGATGATGTGTTAAGGAACCCTTTTAATTCTGTTTAGTTCTATAGTGTATTTTGCTAAGATTCTTTTTTCTGCACGGGTCGTGTGAATCACATATTCGATCTCAAAATTCTTCTTTGCTTTCTCTACTGGAAAAATTTAAAAAAGGCACCAATGATTTTTGGAATCTTGTAGAAAAACGTCTGCGTTATAACTACAATAGGCATAAATATGTTAGCATGGCTTTGGAGGTAAGGAAAACTGACTGAGGAGCAATGCCCTTGTTCAGTGATAGCTGACACAAAAAGGTTCACAGATAAACTAAAGAGCTTTTTAAGCAGATTCAGAAAAAGATCTGTCCATCTCTGGGGAAATCTTAGTGCGAAATTTTTCTGAGGTTGTAATAATCCACTTTGAGACACTAGGTACTCTCAAAACAGCATGTGTAGTTTGGCAGTTAAATTCAGCACCCCTTGAAAAAGGTCAGTGTTTTTAAAATAGAATTTAGGGCCTCATTTTCGAAACATCAGATATTGATGTTTCCAAAAACATCAGATATGGATGAACACTGAGAATGTTATAAACACTTGTGGAAAGAGATCGGTAATGACATTCATGGACTGGATGTATGTATAAATTCATGAGTTACAATTGGTGCTGTTATCATACTTATCCCTATTTCTTTTCCATCTGTTTGTGTCCTTAGTTCCCATTCTCAAGTTCCTGTTGCTACAATTATTCCTCCACCTCCGGACATCCAACCTGTCATTGACAAGCTAGCTGAGTACGTTGCTAGAAATGGAATCAAATTTGAGACAAGTGTCCGTGCCAAGAATGATCCAAGGTAAGGATAACCTTTGTCTGTTTGTAAATACTTCTTTTTCTCTAATGGCAGTTCAAGACCTGGGGGGGAGGGTAAACCTTTCTCGATTTGCAAACAGGAGCATTCTCATTGACCATAAATATTGTTCAATGCCAAACAACTGTTTCTTTACTGCCAGTTTTGGAAGCGTTTTTTCTACTCCTGGATTAGTGATCAGTGCTGTTGTGTCAGTGTGTTTGCTAAATTTATATATTGCAAAAAAATATTTGCAGCACAGGAGTCCCACTTCAAAAACATTAGAAGGCAAAGGGCCATGAGATTTTTGTCAGAAGATGATTCGTAAACACACAGATGGATATTTCAGGAAGGTTTCCTTTCAAAGGGCATCAGTACCTTTCCTTTTTTATTTTAGCAAGGGAAAAACATCCGTACTATGAATACTTAATAAAAAATCTTATGTAAACAGTAGCACTAAAACTGAGCTTTATAGCGTTACTAACTGCAAAGCCACTTGTTAATGTTATACTAAGCTTTTTTTAATGAAACTTTACACTCTTGTTTATCCTACAGAATTTATTTTATAAGGAGTATGTAGTCAGACTTGGTAGTGTACCATTCATTTTAGTGCTAGTTTTGCATTCACTTCATTGTAACTGTGATTAAAGTTCATTGGTAAAAGGATTTAGATGTCATTGGATGCTTTTAGCACCTTAAATCTATACCATGCTGTATTTAAAGTCAGTGTTACCGGTTAATAATTAATGGCCTCTTGCTCACAAACTGTTACATTTTGCAATCTGTATAGTGTTGAAAATCGGATTTATATTCTTATTGCACTTATTGTAATAATTGCTTATTTGAGTCCTGTTTATTTTTTATTAAAATGTATTAACGTTTGGGCGATTTAAAGAAATGAACTCTGGATATTGTTCTTTCCGTGGTGAAAACCTGAGCCTTCAGGAAGAAGCCCTGTTCTACACGACGAGCTTTTTCAGAGGCTTCACACTGTTCTTTTTTGTCTTTCCTTAGGTTTGACTTCCTGCAGTCCTGGCACCAGTACAATGCCTATTATGAATTCAAGAAGCAGTATTTTGTACAGAAGGATGGAGGCACCATCGCAGAGGTATGATCAATTTTATCTCTTTGTGTTATCGGTTTCACTTTGTCTTGCCTTGCTAAGGGAAACTTGTAAGTGATTCTGTCTCCATGCACCTCACTCGCATGACGTAGGATCAGTGCTTTTTCCTTATGTGTGTTATAATTATGGTGCAGTTTTGTAATCCTAGCCCCCTAAGATACACAGCCACTTAGATAGACTGGAATATGGTCAGAATAATCTTTTGCATAAACAATTCATGGCCATGGATGCAGAATTTGTTAATTTTACTTGGGGATGTGAAAACAATCCAATGCTGATTTTGCCCCTAGGACAATTTTATCTGTTTGTATTTTTGTAATTTTCAGTATTAAATGTTAAAGCTTTTGTGTGAAACCTGGATAATTATCTAATTACATCTGTGCACACTCTCATTGTTCAGAGTCTCTCGCAGTACAAAAATAATACAGCACTGTAAATTCCAGTTCTTATCCTTCTGCTTCATATTGTTATTGCCGTCTTTACTTTCATGCATCATGCCTTCTTCAAATTAAACAAGTCAAATGGATTATTTTAAGATTTTATTTCATACTTATTTAATTTTTCACACGGCTATGTTTTGGGTAAAGCAGTTAGAATATGGATGGAATTAAATTTGTGATGTGTCGTGGGGTGTTTAGTGCACAATGGCTGTACCATGTCACCCAGCTGGGTGCTGCACTTCAATAGTGGGTGAAGTGTGTCCTTTCCTATAATGTCAAGAGCTTTGAGATATTTTGGAGTGACAAATGCTATACAAATGCAAGGAATAATCGTACAAGTTCTTGGAAAATTGATAAAAACGGTACGTAACCGGTGATTTCCCTTCATCTGTTTGGATTCAAGGATTTGGGTACCTAGGTTTAACTTTATAGTTCTGTGCTACCGCTCTGGAGTTAAAACTTCATTTTCAGTACCATTTTTTTCATATGATTCTGGTATTCTGTGCACTATTTGTTACTGCTTATGTAGGAAGGCTTTTACTGCCTTTCCAGGCTTATTTGTATTTTTCTAAAAAAATAGAATGTTTTTAGTAACATATAGAGCTGTCCAATGTATTGCTGTAGGGCAATGTTAATGCATGCCAAACAAAATGTAGGCATTATTAAATTTAGTCAACTTTTTATTTTGCCAGTAGGATTTTGTTTTCCATTGTAGAAATGCCTTATTCAGTTCTGTAAAATGTATTGACAGTGTTGGTCATCAGAGCCATGCCATTAAAGTGTCATTTTTAAAGAAACCCTTTTATTACTTTTAAAACAAGAAAGGCTGTTATTATACTTGTAAAAGAAAATAAATACTGTGCGCTATGGGGAAAGAACTTGTTGAAGCTCTTTTGTGAGCTGCAGTAAATGAATGTATTTTTCTTATAAGGAGTAAAAGGACAATTGGGGCAATAAATGTTACCGTGAGCTAACTTCCATAAAGAGAGATCTGCTAATGTAAGCAGTTTTGTTTTACAATTTTTTAACTTTGAAAATAAAAACTCAACACTGCATAATTAAATAAACTAATTCAAATATTTCAACATTCCTTACAAAGACATGGAAATACCACTAGGAGTATCAGCAACAGGAACTGAAATGGCAGACAAATGGTAGTGACAGGCTCTTATCAAATTTGTTAGAGCACCTACAAGGGAGGATTAATCTAATATATTCAAACAGTCAAGACTGAAACTGGACAACAGAGGGGACTTAACTATAAGGGAACTGTGATCAAAACAATATGCTTTGAGGTATATTTTGAAACTGTAAAGGTAGAATTACCTATTACTACAAAGTCTTGTAACTGTAAACTGTAAGTTTATTAAAACAATAATTAGAATTAAAGTCCTAGGAGACAGTCGGTGTGCTCTTAGAAGAGATAGTCTTCTATAGATAGCAATGGACACGCACAGAGCATACAATGTATTTTAAGCTTCAGAAGCTTTGAAAAAGTTCCTAATAAAAGAATCATTCTAAAATTGCGGACAGTAGGCATTCGGAGTAATCTGTGTGTTTGGGTTGAGTGGTCAATGGATAGAAAACGGAGAGAACAGATGGGCAACAGGGGCAAAAACTCTGGTTGGATTGATATAGATCCCGTATTAGGACCACGGCTCTTCTTAATATATATCAATTGATCTACATTCTGGTAAAGTTGGAAACCTACTGAAGTTTGCAGATATCATAATACAAGGATTAGTTAATACTGAGGAAGCAGCAACTAAAGTTTAAAAAGAGACAGAATGAACAACTGGACTGGGCAATTTGAATTTATGTGGTGAGCAATGTGGCACAAACAGTTTGTTGCTAAACATATCTTTACTTGCTAGATTATTTACCTGTTAAGATTGAGGAGTTTGACTCCAAAGAATGTGTCAGCACAGTGGCATCATTTTCAATCATAAGGGAATATGTTAAATAAACAACCATATTTTTTCATCTGTCTAACTTGTTACGCTTTCAAGATACAATGCCTGTAAAAATCTTTTGCACTTTAGCATTTCCTTTAACACAAATCAAGACCTTTGCATAAGGATTTGAACAATTTTGCCTAAAATGCACAATTTTATGTAAATTATTTTAAACTTCTATTCACCTCTATACATTAATACATTTGACAGAACAGTTCTATTTCAGCCCAGGTGCAGAAAATGTGCACAAGACCATGTTTTTTAATAATGGCAGCAGGTTCCACCACCTTCATTTGACATTTTATTCCTAAGTTGTTTTTTTCAGGAGATCAAGGAAAGCTTTTATGTGATTTCTCAGGTAATTGGAAGTTAATTCTTGAACTAGAACCATAATAATCTTGTTCCCTGTTTGAGGGTTAATCATACAGTATATTGCTCTGGGCTCTTTAGAGCTTTTTGTCCCCTCTAGGATATTCTAGACCTCAGGGGAAGAAAACATTACCTTATCAGCTGCACTTCAGATGCACATTTCTTATTTTCTCTCTGATTGTAATTCTGGATTAATTTTCTAAGATGTTTTCTATGCCTTCACACCTCTTGCCGAAATGCACTTGATCTATAACCAAAACCTTTCCTATAGTTAGGACCCCAAAAAAACCTTCCTTCTGATTCTTAGTGGTCTGATTTATATTTCCTGCTAGTTCGGTTTTCAGTAAATGTCAGCCTCGAATATATTATCTTCTTTTATTCTTGTTTATCTGTGGGGTTTGAAATACGAATTATATGTCTGAATGATCACCAGTTTCATCAGAGGAGATTCATTCCCCTTTTTTGTAATGTTTGTAATTGTTCCTTTTTTAAATGAACAAGCTATTCGTGTTCTGCTGAAATTAGTAATTTTCCTACCGATCAGGGCATTTATAGCCTAATGCTCACAATTAGCTAATTAATTTTGAATGCCTCTAAACTTTAATTAAGCATCCAGTTCAATTAAGTGATGTGTCAACTGGATACCAATCATGCAGTTAGTTTGATTCATAGCACCTATCCTCTGGCTGCTTTGTCTTCCTTTGAGGTTTGAAAGATTGTTTATTGGCTTATTAAAGTAATGAGCTCAGCTTTTATTTGGAAATTCAGTTGCAGTTGTAGATTCCCGGAATACTGTACAACTACTATGCCCCAAACATTTGTTTGATAGGAATGGAGTTTGTTTGGGAATCACGTGCATTCTGTCAGGTTATATTAACTATGTATTTTTGGATTCAGTAATAAAAATACTCCATGGGTATATTGGGTGATAGTTTAATGGGAAGTAAAAGGTACAGGACTGGAAACATGGAGGTGTTTGTTAATGTATTTTGGAAAATATCAAATTGTTCCCCAAACTGAAGGGTAGCTATCAAGGTTTATTTTTCCCTTTTAACTCCTTATATTTTTTATAGGTAATTTTATTCTTACCTTTATATGTAATAATAGGTGTCCTGAAATCTCCTTTTCTTGCTAAACCCTGTGGTATTTAATGCACCTGTGGCAAATGTATTCTCCAAAACTAATCTTTTTGTTGAAATGTGACATTAAGATCTAATGTCAGTCCTTTCATTGTCGAAGTAGTGCTTAGGTTAGCCACCAGACAGGGAAGAAAGATCAAGGCCACTGTTGCCCAGAAAATGTTCTCTTTGAGGTGATGAAGTAGCACTATAAGCCATTACAACCAGAAGGCACAGAAACTGAAAAGGTAGAAAAATCGTAGGTTTCCATTTACTATTGACACATCTGCACAAGAAACAAAAGCCACCAGAGGCAGAAGGACAAAATAACTGACCTTTGACACCCAGTAAAAAAGGGCTGCCTGAAAGAAGGATCTCTATGTATTTCAATTGATTGAAGCTTGGAATTCATTTGGTTTCTCTGGAAGTTTTCTTTTCTGATGACACTCCTGGATTAAATTGTTTCAATTTCTGGTCATTTCTGGAAGACTGCCTTAAATTCGTATTATGACTGCCGTGCAATCGTTTTCCAGAGCTTTTACCTTCAAAATTGATTGGTTTGTTAGAACCGAATGGACTCGATTTAAGGGATTCGTTCTCACGAGGGAGTGGATTTTGTCTAAAGGTGACTGTTTAGGCCTTCGAAGTGTTGTTCTGTAATGGAACAGAGCAATGTTTGAACGCAATCTTGTTTTATTGTGTGACTGCAGTGTATATGTTGTTGCTAAGTAACGGGAAAGCCCTTGCGCTGGATCATAGAATAATAATCGTCAAAAACTGTGCTTCCATTACGAGTGATACATAAATAAAACTCATGAGTATTTAAGTATTTTTGGTGGGCTTCAGTGTTTTGTATGAGACTGTTATGGCTACCAGTTATGGCTCACATTATAACTTATACCTAGAGCCTTTTTTTAAATTATATTTCTGAGGTTCTGGTCTTTTGCAGTTTAGTATCAGTAAGGGCAAAGTAAGTAGAAGTGGACAGGTACTGTTAAAGTGATTTAATTAAACGGCTTCTGCATTCCAGGGTTAAGCACACAACCTCAGCCCCCTCCTTTTCGGAAATATAATGTCACTCTTTCCGAAAGGATTTTCTTATT